TTGAGGTGTTATTAACCAATGTTATCAATTACACCTGTGTTTGACAAATGACAAGTCAGTCAATATTTTATATGACCTGCATGTCTCTTCCGCTGTCTTGATAACTGCAACCCATGTTCGAAAGTAACGCTGTGCTCTCAGCATTGCCCTTCCAGTGGATAAAAGTGCCATGTTGGCTGCCCTATGCTAGAAAAAAGTAGTATTTAATAGTTATACTTCAAATCTGAATCAAAAATCAACTATTTTAATCTTAACAAGGGAACCAGAACTGTTTTGATTCCCTGCCCTGGGACCCCACCACATGCAGCCAGTGCCCTTTTAATTTTTTCTCCTCTGCCCCGCACACAGCCAGAGTCCGCCACTGCTGCAGCATGACCGCTTTCATCATAAAAATGTGGACACGACAAATCCTAGGTATGAAGTCAAATTTGTGTCTAAATTTTTTTTCATCTCCATCATTAATTTATATCAGTTACTTCATATCTATTTCTACTGCTGAAAATCCCCGCTGGCTCAGACCTTGGGCTCTCCAGCTTTGTGGAACTGCTGTGTTACGCAGAGACAGCTCCTGCCTCAGGCTAATGAGCATGGAGTGAGATGTCCTCTGAACAAACTGTGAATGCCACCTTCAAAGGAGACACGCAGCGCCCCAGTTTTTGTGGCCGCGGGGAGCTGTCTGCTAGGACAAAGTTTCAAATTTTCTCTTGTTTCCATAAAATTTCTGGTAAAACATTACATGTGGTAGGAGTTAGAGTGACCTAGAAGGCCTGGCTCCCAGGGTGAGGCTACATAAGCTAATGTACAGTATACATGTTTAAACTATCCAGAATCCATTACAAAGTCACACATGTCATCAGGCTTGCTGACCCAGATTTGCCCTACATGGAGGATATTGGTGTCTTTCAGCTGGCAACGTTATTCTTGTCGTTTGCTCCCTCAAAGGCTGAAAACTAAGGTTGCATGTTGCTAATGAGGAAGTGAAGACAGAACAAAGGCTTTACAGTATGAATGTGATGTCAAGCAGTCTTAATCTATCATACTGCGGCCTTTGTAATCCTCTATGTCTAAAGAGGAGCTGAAGCCGCAAGCAGCCACAACAGAGAGCTTGCCCTCCTAGGTATCAGTAAACTAAGAGACCACAAGCTTTTAAATAAATAAATAACCAAAGAGCAAAATATGGGGTCATAGGGAGGTTGATCACTGAGAAACACCAGTGGTATAATAAGGACTAATCCACTCTATTCATGTATTTTTTCCCTCCTCTTTTTCTGTCTCCCTGTCATTATCTTTCTCACATTCTCACCATCCAGGGATCTCCTTTGCAGTTTTCCTTCCCTCCATTCATCTTTCATTCCCTCCAACAGCAGCAGTCAGTGCAGTGATTCAAACAGGCTCCAGCTATCATTTAAAGGGTCAAGGTCTGTTTGGACACTTCTGGTGTGCTCAGCAGGAGAGGGACTAGAGACTTTATTAGCCTGATTGCCTTTGAAGTCCTCAAAACGACTGCAAGAAACTCTCCTTCCTGATCAAAGGAGGATAGAGACAAGGAAATTAGAATAATGTGCTTTGGGTACTCTTGTGCTGGAGCTTTACGGATGATGATGTGTAAGACATAAATACTTGAGTTATAGTGGATATTATCATACATTACAGGGTAGAGTTGCATATTGAGCATTACAAATGTCCAATTATCTGTTGAGGGAAAACTTGCAAATGCAGTGAACGTTTCAGGAGAATTTGATGTAAATGCCCTTATCGGTCATCTGGGAATAATTTCCGAACATCACTGGAGGAAATGAAACCGAATGAGCTCAGTATTGTACCAATCAGTGAGGTCAACATGACTCCTGACTATCGGCATCAATCTTATGTACCTCCTTAGACACAACTGCCATTTTCCATAATTATTCATGTAAATTAATGATGCATGAAACACCACACTGTATGAAATGAGGTATTTTGGATGAGATGGCTCAATTTCATGCCACCTAATGCTGTCACATCTTTGGCTGCTGCTCTAATCCGCTCGAAAGAAAAGGTAAGAGGGTTCATGGAGAACTCGTTCTAGTGAGTGTAAAGTGGGCCGGAGAGATGATAAACATTTTGCATAAAAAAACATAACCACAAAGACTGAGGTCAAGAGTCATTTATTCAGTTGTCTATTTAATTATATTTAAACTAAATGGAAGTTTTTATGCTCTTTCAAACCCTTCTTCACACTTCCCACCCTGATGGGAGGAATATTGATATTGATACTGATTTACTCATTTGTTAGTAATGTGTATATTCGAAAAGAAAAAAATGGTATCAGCCTATGAATATCAACAAGTGTTATTTTTAAACTGTAAACTGTTTAAACAAATTACACAGTAGCAAAAAGGAAGACACACTTTGCATAGTCTTAATTGTAAAAAACATCATTCATTCAGCTTTCTTTTTGTAATTACAAGTAATACATCAAATGCAGAGGGAAATAAATACTTGACATGATTCAATAATGCATTTTAGTTTAATCATTGGGGTTATCTTAACTATCTTTAAGTTCATTGTTTTCCCCAGCCAGACAGAGATGTTCTTTGTGATGCTACAGTAACATCAAGGGTGGGATACAGTTTTATTTGTCCATGAAGACAGACCAAATTGCTTCACACTCAGTTAAGTGTACATGGTTTTGTTGCCAGCCCTGCGTAGGGCTGAGGGAGTTGAGAACGAAACAAGGTATTGATGCTCAACAGATGACATATAAAGCAGGATTCTGACCCGCTGAAAAGAAAAAAGGTTTATTTTCTTTCGTTCTTTGGCTTGAGAAACACAGAAATCGGACAAGTATTAAGTCACTTTAGAAACAACAGCAACAATCGAAATGTTGTTTTAGGCATCCAGTCACTGTGTCCTCAGCCAGATATTCTTCATCGTCATTACAACTGTGCTCACAGTTTAAGGGAGATTAAGAGTAATCATGTTGATTCAAAAAGTAAAACAAAGTTTTTGTTTGACTTTGTCCCCAGAAGACCCTAAAGCCAGGCCCAGAAGCCTGTAGCTTCCAAACATTCATTTACTTTATTAACGTTTTATAGGATTATTTACCATTGCACTATAAATGACTAACCACAGTGGGACTGATGATACCAGCTGCTATCACCAGCTCGAGTAAGTGACTTCAGGTGTTCCATATCGTTTTCCTTTCATCATCACCCAAGACATTAGCTTGGTTCATTGACCCAGCGATGTTCCTCCAGCCCGACAGTATCTCTGCTTCCCAAGATAGAAGCAGATGACTGAGAGCTTCCTCTGTGTCTCCTGTATCTGCGTCACAGCTTGATAATCACGACTTTACCGGCAGGCTTCACTTGATGCTTTATCTCAACCGGGGAGTGCCAAAACGGATGCACACCAATATGGGATCCACGTTCCCTAACAAGGGATTGTGTGCGGGGGTGTTTGGATCTGGACACTCATCAGTGATCACAGTATCAAAGGTGAGTGTGTCAACAAGTCTCCTCCTTTATTTAAGTCCTCTGTACCACACAGAAGATATACAATGTGTGTGGGATTCTTTTAACCCACTATGACATAGTGTTCACCCCTTCTCTTTCTATTGTTCATGACAAACCCACGATGCAATTGTACTGTTTCCTCAAACATTACATGTCAGGTTTGAAGGATAAATTGGTAAAATGTTATTGCTGACAGTTCAAATTAAGTCACACACTTGGCTTAAGTTAAAATATGTCACAGTTCTCTCATAGGAATCATATAATTGAAAGTTATTACATGCAGTATTTGGAATAATGTCACATTATCCAGAAATCTGCTTTTATGCTGCCAAAGTTGTCTACAGTTAAAAGATGAAATTGAGAGGATTTGTCATCTAAACTGACAATTGCACAAAGTCGAAAACAATCTGGATATCCACCACAGTCTCCTGAATTTCATCCAAAATTTCAAGGAACAACTTCAAAGCACTACTTTAAAAAAAAGTCTTCTTGGTATGAATGTAAACCCTGCTTCCAGTTCTAATGCAGCATATGTATCTGGAAAACTAGACAGATAGCCATGTCATGTTGTGTGGTACAATCAGCTGACAGCTCTTTGCAGTTAACCCTGTGAAGATGAGTGTTGACTTCGAGGTTATAGAAGAGGTTATCGCAAACTCTTCACTGTCCATCGCACTCCATGAGGAATCCTGAGGACTACACTTCAGATGTGACCTAATGCAGCAATACTTAAAGATCCCCTCCAGACATGTACTAAGACATGTATACAAATAATCTGGTTAGAACAACAAGGTGTGTCTGATATGTTGCAAAAAAAAGTATAATTTTCACATCTACACTTTCTATAGGATTTAAAAATTCATTACAATATATGAATATACACATTTTGTTAATTTCTTTAAAGTTTCCTGCTGGATACAAGATGGCTCCTGCTTCACTGTAAAGTTCATTCTCAGTGTATATGCACTGCTGGCTTAAAGTTTCTAGATCACATTTGTTTAAGCCATATACTGGACCAGGGCTACACTATTTGTGATGTCACAAATCATGCTTGTAGGTCCCGCCCCTTAAAAATCTGATTTTCAGTGAGCACAGAGAAACTTTCCACATTTCCTTGGAAGAAAACATCCTTCCAACTCTACACATGTATCATCCTGCACAGTGAAGCTAAAACATTCAACTGTAGGAACAAGACAAAAAACACATTTTTGAGTGGAGGGGAACTTTAAGCTCTTAAAGTAATCAAGAAACTATTTGTCTGACTCTGCCGTTGCTGCACTGTTACATGCACTTTATGTGTGATCAAGTCCTTAAAGAGAGAGATTGACAAGAGGTTTATAGGTAGTCATGGTGTATTTTGCATGTTTGAAGTCATTATTAATGACACTTCATCTTACAGTGTGGCATTATCACAACAGACATAAACAGACGTCAACAGCAAACACCAATGCTTGAGTTTAAATGACAAAATAAAATAAAAAAAATCAGCCTTGTCAGACCAGATTTCCAAAAAGGTTCTTTAATAAATAGCGGCAAACTGACTGACTTTAAAAACATCAGTGGCTTTTTGAGGCTATACTATCTTTTTTTTTTTTGCTGTGGAATCTGATCACCATTTCTAGATACAACAAACAGGGCACAGGTTACAGAGAAGGTGCTTAGATTAGTCAAAGCCACACCTTAATATAACTCTTCACAAATGTAAGCCTCTGTGTAAGGCGCATCACAGTTATGACATTTATCAAGGCCCTTTTTGTGGAGAATTTCAAACAGGTCAATGAAATTGTGACAAACAAAGGGAGAAGAAAGTCTGTTTGAAATGTTTGGACAGACAATATATCAGTTGATCCCACAGATGATGCCAGAATGTGAACTATTTCCTTTTAACTATAGATGGCAGATAGCAGAAAGCATTGGCCCCCCACACACATACATCCGTAGTAAACATCCCACATGAGCAAACACAAGGACAGACCTGGAAGTCCGTGGAGGGATCTAGACACACTCTGGGGCTATCAGCTCCCACCCCTCCCCCCTACACAGACCCATTTTCTCTCTCCGTGGCTACGATGAGTGGTGACGGGTCTCTGTTTTTACATTATCTAAGTGACAACCACTGGAGGTCCTGTTGTGCTTCTAGGATCATACTGTCCATGCCTTGCAGTCCGTTTCCCCCCCAATGTTTCCATTTGTGGTTTTCTTTGAACTGCTACTGTACAAACAGTATACTAAAAGCCATGATGATACAGCAGCAAGCCACCCAGGGACTCTTCCGCTCACCTGGATAAAATAAATAATGTAAAGTTGAAGGCCGCCCTGTTTTAGCAACAATTAATTGATAATGCAAAAAAAAAAAAAAACAACTTAATGTAAAAATCTTACACTTACCTATTCTGGCACACTTCCAGAAAATTCCTAGAAGCCTAAAAGATAAAATAACAAAATAAATTACAAGCAGGAACAGTTTTTGGATCCATTTATTGTACTGGTTTTTAAAAGTTAACCGTTCTTTTACTACAATAAAATGCTGTGATATTAAAAGCTAAGAAAAGAGGCTGGGTGGTGTGTTTGATATGTCAAAGTAGTAGATACAGTTACTGCTTGTCAGACCTCTGTAACAACTTTACATGAGAACTGTGATCGGCTTTCCCGGGCCATCAGATGTCCATTTCCATGTAAGGAGTGTGTGCAGTGGAAAAGAGGGGGACAGCAGACAAGTCTTATTATCTCTTGTGACAGCTGAGGCGAATGTGGCATTCCAGGCCTTCACTTTTCTGATGTGTCTGTCGGCCTGTGTCAGGGTGTGTGTATGTGCGTGTCTGCAAGTGTATCTGTAGAGCACACTCTTTTATTGACTTAGAATAGCGCAGGCTTAAAAGATCCATGTTCTACATTTTTTGGTGTATGTACACCTTTTTTTACACGTTCTTAGAATTTGCCAGGAGATGGTATTTCTCTCGGATTCTAGGCCTATTCCTACCACACAGTAATTATTTGCATAATGTGTGGCACCAACTCAACACAAAGAATGGCTCACGCCTCTGACAACGACTCAATCAAGAGTGAAAACCATTAAATTTTCCCATCTGTCACTCTCAGTCTCATGAGTTTGTCTGAAGAAGATGTCCCTCCCTGCTCCAATGGTGTGTGTGTGTGTGTGTGTTGTGTGTGTGTGTGTGTGTGTGTGTGTGTGTGTGTGTGTGAGCAAGTGAATGTGTGCGGCTGTTCCTGGGCTGTGCCAGACTTATTAGAAGTGAATCATGGAGTCTGTATCCAAGAATTATAATGATGAAAATGTAGGCCTTCTGCTATTTTACTCGCCTCAATGGGAGCGTCTTATTAGTTAAAATAATAAGCAAGTGTCCTCAGCAGCTTCAGTGAGTCACAGAAAGATGGATCATTTAAAATTGTAGGTGTTGTATACACATAAACTGCTCTCGTAAACTACTAATAATCAACTGTTAAAATGAGAAATGTTGATGATGACAGGACCTTGTAGAATGGAACAGAGTGTGTGGCAATTATATGAAATACAAATACAAGTTATCATTGCCTTAGCATGACCAAAATTATCGGATTAAATTAGGATGTCCTGCAGCTTAGACTTAGTACTTTGTTTGGGGCCATTTTTAATTTTAACTGCTTCTATGTATGCCAGGACAAACCCCAACCACCAATCCTTCTATACTGAAAATGATTAAACTGCATGTAAAACATAATGATAAACTCTGACCTTCCTCATTTAGAATTTACAGTATCACGATAATACACTTGACATACATTATATGAACAAATACTAATAATAAGGTAAATAAATTAAGAAGAGAACAAGCTTTGGTTCATGTGTGTTGAAGTACTGATGGAAGCAACACAGCATGTTGTTGGTGATGAATGTATTGAGTCTGGTATAACATTGTGTCCCATTCAACGAGACAAAGACAGGTATCTGAGCAGTCAATTTATCACTGGAAATACTTCAATAGCAGCTTCACTGTCAGGTATCTTCAATAGTATCTGATCATACCCAGTCTTGTTCTTGTCTAGCAGGCTGGGAGCCAGCGCTCTGAGGTAGGCACAGGTACAGATCAGGAGGAGAATCACGGTTAGCAGTGACTGGAAGTTGAAAATGGCCGACTGCAAGATGAAGGAGAATTGTATATTTAGTACACACGTGATAGAATAGGGCAGCTTACCAGCAATACATCATACAAATTAGAACCACTGAATTCACTGTAGTTAACACTGATTACATGCTACTTGTAGCGAGGAATGTTGTTGAACCAGCTGTTTCTGGTGGTGTGACAAAGAAGTGGGGTGGCTGTGTAGATAGTCAAAGACTGTCAAGGACTCAGTGCCAGACGGGGGGACAGACAGCATGTTTTACATTGACTGTGTACTAGAATAAACAAGGGAAAATTAGGAAGATAATGAAATGATAGTTCACCAAGTACATTGGCAAAGTTAGCCCTTCTATGTTTGGGTATAAATTAGTACGCCTGTTGTTTAACAGACATGTTATGTAAAGTTAGAAAATTGGTTTAAACTGCAAATTTCCACTGGAGTGTAGCTCAGTTGGCCAGAAATCCTGGACATCTCACAGAAAAAGCCGTGGATGCTCAGAGTTTTAATCAACTGCTTTTGTGAAGAACTCTGATTTGTTTTAGTTGTCTGAAGGTGAAATGTTCTTCCTTAAATCTTTAAGGAGATTTTTGTTTATTAAGAAATATACAAAATGCATTGGCAATTAAGACATAATTAGACATTTTGGTCATGGACTTTGAATCTGATGAATTTTCTTCTGAACTGTATATTACGATTCGTTATGCGGCCTGGCTGATGTTGCTTAAGTGTCTTGTAAGCCCATATGGACTGAGGACCACAGAATGGTTCAGGACACCTAAATAAAAGTTAATAGTTACTTAATTAGTAGTTAATCAGGCCTACATTATATTACATTACGTGGATTTAGCTGATGCTTTTATCCTAACTAATTTTCAACATGTTCATGTAATATTATTCTGGGAGGATCTCATACACACCCTTAACTAGAAAACTAGACATTTTGTACATAGTGATGGTGTATGATGATTTCTGCCTGTGGCCATTATCTATCTTTCCCTGGCTGTATTTCTTGATGCCAATAGGAGCATGGTAGCAGGTGCCGGGCAGAAATGAGCCAATCACCAGGGTTGGTGCAATAAATAGGTGGACATTAGAGTTCTTCTTCGTGTTTATTGCATGGGTTTCTTGCTGCTACATGTTTTTATCAAAATGAAAACAAAGCTAATAAACTGTCCGCTCGTCCTTAAGATTTCAGCTCAATAAGGTCTTCGTGGAATAATTAAGGTACGTACTTACTGTCTACTACTATCACACACACACACACACACACACACACACACACACACACACACACACACACACACACACACACACACACACTCCCTGAACTGCGGTGCAACGACGTGGCACTTGAAAACATTGCGGTGCTCGCGTTCATCGTCCTCATTAATCAGGAAGAACTTCAACCTTTTGGTACCAAAACGACTCGCGTGGATACATGCCCGTAACTCACACGATGATATCAATAAATAATATAATGTTATTTAAGGACAGAAACATACTGCGATAGCTAGATTGGCTAAACTCTTAGCCTATTTTAGCTAGCCAATGCTAACTAGGTGGTTTAGCTTTTTGCTATACGTCCTGCTAAACACTAGCAACTGGTGCTGTCACAGCGTATTGCCGACACATATTAGATGTAGAATATGTGTTGTAGTATAATGCTTAACACACGCCGTAGACGAGCAGAAGCACTTGCTAAATAAAAACAAGCTTACCATTTTTGTTGTGAGTCAAAGCCACATCACACTTCCTGCTCCCTGGAACTTACGTAACCTAAATCAAAGACGTCGTTACGTATTTTCACGCAGTGCGCCGCAAAACTCGTGCGCTGATTGGCTGAAAGCGCGAGAGTTGAAGGTTGAAACTTCTGTCAAAACTGTCAACAGAGAGAGAGAGAGAGAGAGAGAGCAGCATCGATCACAGTTTCATTCAAAAATTGCTTCGTGTGGACATCGCAGTAGTTAGCGCATTACCGTAAGTCTTTGGAGGAAAATGTGAACATCCACACAGACATTATACATTATAGTGGGGGTTTTTTTGTCCGCCTGTTACCACTGTAATATTCAAGCAGGGCGGAACCACTGCAGCACGTCTAAGACTCGGCGCCTTGCCGTTAAAGGAGTATCATGTGCACTGATATTACTACCATAGCTTTATTTCCACTGGGGAAGGCAATATTAGTAGTAAGCTAAACGTTACCTAGTTAGACACATGATTACACACATAGACAGCACTTGCAGAACCCAGAAGGTGGGTATGAATATTAATAAAATCTGAGGTATTGTGGGGAAAAAAGGGGGGCAGTGAATATCTGTATCCTTAGCAAAGGGAGTGCTCAAACACTCAGAAAATGAATAGATAGAAATATGTACACATATTTGGTGATTACAGCTTATTACAGGATTTGCTTGAATTATCTTTTTTCTCAAAATTGTGAAATTCTTTTGGATTTTTTAAAGTGGGTCAGACAGAAATTTCAACATCACCTTGGGGACTGGTTACTTGGAATTTTAATTCATTTAAATGTTGTAGACGTTGCAATTAAGCAATTATAAAAACAATCCTTGGTGTTAATCTTACTGACAAATGTGACTGTTGTTGATAGGTCGATAGCCTAATAGATCTTGTTCTCTCTTGGTGACGTAGGACTGAAATTTTTGTGGTTCACTTTTCTTTCAGTGTTTTCACAATGAAGTCCCCTCCCTCCAACCAGCCACGACAGCATCTTGATTACATTTAAAGCATGTTTCATAAATCCCCCTCGACCCTTCATTCTCAGACACTCCTAGAGAGCTCTTCATGTAAAACGAAATCTGTCAGATTGTAAACCACACATAAATCATGTTTTGCATACTTTATTACAAGAGTGCGGATGGAAACTGGGTGTAAAAAGCGACTAAGTCTTCGAATGGAGTGTCTTAAGAGCAAAAGATGAGCAAGTGTACGCTTTAAACAGTCTCATATTCCTCTTAATGTGATTAGGTTTTATAGTTTACAGTGCACTGACCAATTTAGGCTACAGCACAGTACATGCATGCCCGATTACTGCAAATAGTCTCAGTATGTGAAATCTTGTTCTGTTTGTATGAGAGATGATACCAGGTCAACCTTTTTTGTATGACATTTATAAGTCGATGGCAAGAGTAAAACTTTCTTAAAGCAGTGGTAGATGTTTGTATGAGTTTATAGTAATACTGGAGGGAAAATGGTCACTCTATGCAGTTTTGACCCTCAAAGGAAAACGTGACTCCTGCAAACTGAGAGAGCAGATGCAAATGAAAGTGAGGCTAATTACACCACCAGTGTTGTGCTGTCACAGGTTGTGCCAGGGTCTCTATACTTTTACACAACCATAATCTGCGCTGAGAATTGCCTTGCATTTGTGTCTGAGCATGGCTTAGGTTTCCTCAACTGTAAGTTATTCCTATGTGAATATTGGAGATGTGAAAATAACCTGTTATTGTGCTGCAGAATCCAGGGTTAGCATGTTGTTACAACATTATACGGAAGAGCTGAGGTCAGGAGGACGAGCATTGCAGGCTAGCAATGTATGTTTGTTTAAAAGGATTGGCCTCTTGAAATTAGTCATCTCTTCAATGATTTGAATGCAGAGCTTTAGTTGGCGTGGTTGCTGTTCGGCTGTGGCTCACTCCTGTTTGTTCGAGTAGATTGCACACTACTTTTTCTTTGCAAACAGTGGTACGGTTTCTGTTCTAAAATGTGTTATTGACTGAAGTAATATTTACTGCATTCCTTGTGTGATTTCACTTGAATTTAGATGTAATTTAATTTTAGTGACTTATTGCACTACACTACCATATATTTCTGTGAACAAGGACTCCATTAGGTTGGTTTGCGGTTACAGTTATTATTCCAGATTATGTCAGAGGTGTGTGTTCACTCACTTAGTAGGGTATGCTGTTTTGACCACATTATCCACTAAAAAGACACATTGCCAGTGATGTTAGATATAGGTCTGACACTTGTTGTCACCAATCTCAAATGCTTTGGTTGGCTAAGACATCTTTAAACCTATAAGGAGTTCTGGAAAAAAAAGGATTGTCTCTGCATGTAGGAGAAGGCACATCTTGTCATACAGCACAAGACGGAGCATGACCCTGACCCATTACTACTACATCATAGTCTCATCTGCAGGCAGTACTAAAAGTGTCCATGGTTAAATTTTAGTGTTTTTTCAAACCTGGTCTTTATGTTGATGCACCCATCAGTCAGGTTACGGTGACACTTCATTAACTCTGCCCTACATGAGGATGGTATATTCCAGTTTGGATAGATTCTTAGAAATATATTTTAGCCTACAGGCCATCATTTACTTTAGCATGTTGTATGTTTGCATCCTATTTGTCAAGTGGTTTAAGTACCTGGAAAGAATAATGGATAAAATGCTACGACGCAGTCTGCTGCTTTACTCCTTGACTGATCATGATGACAGTGGACAAGCCAAAGAGTTCTCCTTATCATCTTTAATACAATACAATAAACTATTGTATTGGGGAGAGCATGAGGGGAAAGTCCAGTGAAAGGACAGTGAAAGGACAGTGAGAGGACTGGCCTAATTGTCAGGGCCCATTAAAGAGACAGTTAACTGCCTTCTACTTCTTCTTCTACTCTGTATGAACTCATTTAAGACACAAAATGCATAATTAGAGGCTCTCTTTGTGACTCATTTGCTTAGCACTTCCTTCCCGCAGTTATGTCGTGCAGTTTTCATATGTGGCAATGCTGAAGAAATGACAATGAAAAGGTTGAGCAAAAAATTACAGAGGGAGTAAGAAAAGAGGATAAAGGCAGTGTGTCAAAGCTGTAGGGGAGTTTAAGCTGATGATTTAAGCGTTCTAGTGATTGTTTCTGTCGATCAAGTAACTGAACAGGAAGACTTTGCGACCGACTTTGAAGGCTTTGCGCGGCTCTCCATTCCTGAAAGACAGCACTGTTTATTTAATTGGAGTGTCCTTCTGTCATTACCACAGGGTCATCGTCCCTGCACAACAGATGTTACAGTAACTAATGAGTAGCTGGGCTCACTTTATGAGGTTAAAGTTGAACCCTTCAGCTCCCTCATCTTGTTCAGCCCCTTCGTCGAGCCACACCCCTTTTTGAAGCACAAAGGGTCAACTTTAATCTGTTGCGAGTTTCTTTATGGTGTGTGTGTGTGTTTGCGTGAGTGTGTGGAGAGGGCATATGTGTGTGTCTGTGTCAGATCTCTGCTGTATGTCTTACTTTGAATAACCTTGACCACCTGCTCTGTCAGCGTATATGGTGGGGACACAGGCAGAATGTCAAAAAAAACGCGCTGTCACGTCCTAACTTATAGCAGTGTCCGAAGGCGCTCATTTTCATTTTTTCAAACATGTCCAGCTTGGCTAACTGCCAATTTAGTTGTCCTTTTCCCTCCATCTCAACACACTTTGCCCTGTAGTTAAGCAGGGAAGATATCCAACTCACCTCTCACTTCACGTGGAAGCACTAATCATATGTTCTGGCTTGGATATCCGTAATCAAGTAAAAGTTTCAAAAAGAGTCAAGCTCATTGAGAAGAAAAACATATGTGGAACCAGTAAATCAAAATGACATTTAAGGAACAATCTCATGGATCATATTGGTAAGCCCTAGATCAAGATCTTTTGTAACAGATCTGTTGAACATAGGCTGTCTCTGGCAGGAGTTTGCAGCTGTGAGTCATTTAGCCAAGACATTTAGCCTGAGGCCAAGGTGACATTACTAAACAAGCTTGCTCAGTACGCTCATTGAACAGTAGCAAATTATGATTTAGTTTCAGAGTATACAGTACTTCAAAGGGCATGGATCCCACAGGTTTTGTTCATTGTGGTTTGGCATGGCCATGGATGAATTAGCCTACTAGGTTGTAGCAATAGATAATTGTTATCTCCTTCCTTTGCAGTATCATTGGTCTTAGCTTCTTTTTTTCAAACATTATGGCTCTTCTGGATATGTCATATTTCTTTTTATTTACAGTGTAACAGTTTTAATGGTTGTCACAAAGCTTTGTGAGTTAAAATTCATTCTCGAGTAGATGTTTCCAGGCTTAAATCTTGTTGTGCAAAGATGTAGTTGGCTGAGAGTTGGCTCAGATGGCTGAGTGAGGTTAGGATATTCAGAATCACTTTAACAAATATGTGTGCTGTAGGTCTTCAGACAAATGTACCCACTGAATAAAATCTGACAACAACAACTGGGCCTTTTCAGTAATATTCTCCCATTTATCTTTAACAGCATGTAATTACCTTGCTGGTGGTCAGAGAGCCCACACTCTCGCACAAAAACCTGCCAAAACCTGTTAAACTCCATGTGGTTCCTCTGACTCAGAGAGACCCCCATTAAAGACACACGCAGGGACATTTATTACTAAATCTAAGTAGTAAAACAATGAGATGCATTGATGCAACTAAAAGAGTAACACAACTGTATAACGTCAAAATGGACTGACTGGAGGGCTGTCTCCGAAGGAGGTCCTAGGACCAAATAATAACTGTAGACCTACAAAATATCCTGAGCACAATGCAATGGGCTTATTGCTGGAAAAATGAATCACAATGGCGCCTTGTTAAGAGATTCTTAAGAGTTTCTTAATTCCCATGTTTGATTTTGTGCAGGTCATGACTGGTACAGTCCGACAGATCACTGTAACTACTGATCCAGACACCCCCTACTTCCTGCGAGTGGACTGGGCTGTAGACCTGGGTGCTGGGTTCACATTAGCTCTCACCGATGGCAACTCAGCATGGATCGGAGAAGGTAAAGTACATCAACGCATCAGGAGTCGAGGACCAC